GCCTTGAAACATCATCACACAGTTTAAAGAATAAATCTGAAATGTCTGATCAAAAAATTTCTTCTGAATATTTCAGGTATCCAAAGCCGCCGCAGACCTGATGGCATACTGCGAGGCGCACATACGCGAGGACCCCCTCATCGTGCCCGTGCCCGCCTCCGAGAACCCCTTCCGGGAGAAGAAGTTCTTCTGCACCATCCTCTGATGAGCTGCTGGTAGAGCTGTGCAGGCATGGCGTTGCCTGGCTTCTCTGTCTTCACCACACCTGAAGCTACTGGCCATAGGCATTGAGCTGAGTTTTGCCAAGGCGGGGACACTCTGTTGTTGGTCAGCTCTGCCCCTGGTGGCTGAAGGTTTTGGGGGAGTCAGCTACCAAACTGGCAACCCAGTGGGCGTATAATGTCTTGTTAAATAGGTTTGTTATTGCTTTGTTATTAGAGAAACAGCCTTGCTTAGTGCTCAAAGAGATGAGAGATGTTTTGGTTTTTTCTTTTTCTGTGCTAGATTTGAACTTGCCTCAGGAAACAACTTTGCCCAGTGTTTGACTTTTTTTAAAAAACATTTATTTCCCCTTTTTCTTTCTGAATAAAAATGTGTAGGTCTTTGTATAAACTCAATCATGACTTGTGTTAGTGGGTTTTTTTTTCGTTTTTTTTAAATGGCTCTCAATGCACAGATGTAACTATTAGTAGCACCACTAAAAATTCGACGACTTCCCTCAGCAGTGGTTTCAGTTTCAGCATCGACAATTAACCCACTCGCTTTAGCACAATCTGATTCAGATTAAAGCCCAGAAACGGAAACCGTATCTCACAGTGAATAATTTCCGCTGCACTCTCAGTAAGAATGAGGCGGCCGCACGTCGCGTTCTGCTGCAAAGAAATGAGTGGACTGTTTTTTGAAAGGTGCAGAGCTAATGTTTCAACAGCCAGATGAGTTCTTCGGGGTTATCACTGTGCAAACAAGCCCTTAAGTCAAGAATTATTTATGAATCTGCCACCTTCTGCCCACTCTAATGCATTCTAACTTTGCTTCTCGGTTTGATTTGCTCTTTTCTTTCGAATCTGAAAAAGCATCAGTTAATCCTGCAGCTCTCTGCAGGAATAGATATAAAATATCATTATTTTATTTTTTTGCAGGACATCTTGTTCCCTTCAGCAGTCTCTCTTAATTTCTGGGCATGTTTCCTGAGCCTGATTCTTTTCCTTCTTTTCTTCTTCCTTTTTGCCTGTCCTAGAGTGAATGGCGAGGCCTTTGACATTAATACCAAACTGGAGGCCTGCATGTTTCTCTGCTCCTTTTTGACAGCCTCCTCTGTTTCCGAGGGACCGTCAGTCTCTTCGAGTGTACAGTATGTTACGGTGCCAACTTCTGTGGGAGCGGTGTGATCTTCACACTGTGCTTCCCGGAGCCTTTTCTTTTTCTGTTCTGGGTTTTTTCTCTTTTGGAAGAAAAAAAGCACACTGTCGAAACATTTCCTTTACATGGTAGTTGAATAGCATTTGCTGATTTTTATGATGACTTATTCTGATCGTTATTAATATTGTTATCAGTAGTATTAACGAATATCTGTTGCACAGCACTGACAGCTACATGACGTGCAGTGCTCCTAAGCCTGTATGATACGTAGAGAAAAAGAACGTTTATAAATCATGCAATTATTGATACTATCGTGAGTATTTTTTAAAAACAGCGCTGAGGGTCGTTTACATAATGGGGTCCCTTTTTTCTTCTTTTCTTTCTTTTATTTGGAGGTTCAGGCTTTTTGCATCAAGGTTTCTATCATCGAAGGGGAGGGTGAGTGGGGACTTCCTTTTTGGTACTTGAATAGCCATTGCATTAGGAATCAGTCTCTGATACTGGACCGTAACAAACGCAGACTCAATAGTCTTCAGGATAATTATCGACTTTATTTCCTATCTGAAAACCTGAGCTGACCTCAGGACACTCTCGCTGACCTCATCTCAAGGATGGTGCCAAAATCTGAAAAGAAATACGACGGCTAGAGATGAATATTGCATGGATTTATTTCTATTTATAACAGAACTATTATGATATGAAATATTGCCTGTTCATTGACTTTTCTGGGTGCTACTCTGCACATAATAATCTCCCTGGAGTCCGGATATGTCAACAACGTGCAGCTGTATTCATGAATGGTATTATTGTTTTGGGGGGGGGGAATAAATAGCATTTACATAGCAGACTTTGTAAAAATCCTTTGACGGATCAAATGAATTAAAAGAAAACGGCAACCCACAGTGTGCTGTGTCTTCAGTATTTTTCTCTCTTTCTGGCATCTGTCTGATCACACCGACAACATGCTGCAAATCGTTCTGGGTCTCGCAGAGGAACATCGTGTTTCGGTGTGTATTGGAGACCTCCTGTGGCTGAGCTGAACCATGGGCCATCTGGATGCACTCTTGTGTTTTTTTTAAAAAAAAGAAAAGGATTACGATTCAGTTCAGCCTTGGCCAGTTTGCCTTCTATTCTGCAAATCTAAAGCGGGAGGGCATTACATGTGCTGGGTGACAGCACAGTTTGCACGAAGAACGGCCTCGATTTTTATGATTCGAGGTATCCGCGGCTGACATCAGCATTCACGTTGTCTGCTGTTGCTCCTTCATGTCTCCATCCATGCATCCATTTACATCCTCACTGGGGGAATAGGCCAAAATTACAACTTTCCACCTAATTTAGTTGATAGTGGTTATTTTATTTTTAGCCACTTTTCACTGCACTTCATGGTCTGATGATCGGGTCAGAGGCAGAATTGGTCTTTTTTTTTTTTGGACAAACAAGGAAATCAACTCTTGCGTGTTGATATTATGAGAGACAGCAGTTATGATTTAATGCACAGCACTGACAGTTTTGATGAATGACACTGAGAAGGTGAATACTGGTATCTCTTATTGGTTTTTTTTGTTTGTTTTTTTTTCTTCGCCCGGTTGATCCCAAAGGGCTAGGATGTAATTAAGAAGTAGTCAGTGTTATAGTTTTTCTTTTCTTTCTGTTTTTTTTAAGGCTTGGGATCAGCTGTGCTGTGGATTATCTACATTTATTTCACATTTAAACCCCAGTGAGAGGCAAAGTTTCTCAGTCAGCATCTTACAGTGAATGATGGGCTCCTCCATGAATACGCTTCTGGTTTCTAAAGTTGAAACGCTTTTGTTTTTCCACAATCTGAATAATCTTGATCTCTGTCAATCTACACCTTAAATCTCTTGGCAATTATATTGCTTAAATTTAGTTGTTGGTCATGGCTACATCAAAGTTAAGAAAAATCCTTTTGCTTGTGGAAACGATATGCGCTATTGAGAAGACAAATGGTGTACCCAAAAAAACCCCCCCTAAAATTAGGTCCCTGCATCATTGCAGGCACATTGTTCCCATGTGGGACCTGACTGGATAAAAAGAAACTTTTATAGATGTGGAGGGAAAGTACAGTGATTCCTGAGTGGGAAAAGATGAGAAACACAAGTTGGAATAGTATAAATAGAGTATGAACTCCACATATAAATAAGTGAAATGTGAGAGACAAACAGCAGACTCTGATAGACGAGGGCTGGAGAAGCCACAGCATTGCGGGATGTTTGGATGGGTTTCAAGGACCCCTGAACATGCTATGAATAGCCTTTTCCTTTCAAATGAATAATGTGTTGCGGGGAGAGAACTAAATCATCCTAATGAGTAGATCTATGAATAAGAGTCCAAAAAGAATTATATAATGCACAGGAAAGTAATTATCCCTGGGGCAGAGGGTTATCTAATATTGGATATCTGCACTGGAGCAATTTTCCAAATTGAGCAGTGAGGCCCCCAAAGTCTACCAGAATAGTAATAATTCCTGATAAGATTATTCATCTACAGGCACAGCATGGTGTTCTGCAGCAGCTTCTCAATGAATTCTGCTCAGGGCACTGACATGCAGCACATTGCAGTGTTTCCCCGTCACATTATTTTTTCACTCCGAGGGGCAGTAAGGTCTCTGAAATGGCACTTGTGAAATGCTGGAATTCCATTAAAATCAATACAAATAAAATGTTTACAAGCACTATAGAGGGCTTGTTTGTTTTTTTTTCTTCAGTGGGGTGATCCATTCCTCCTCCTCCGGGAAAACACTGGTGCTCTCCGAGTCAAAAGAAATCCTCCTCAAGCGTTCGTCTCCATGCACAAAAGATTCCATTTAAATGATTTATGTGCAGCACAGGGGAACAGCTTTTGATAAAGTTGCGCTCTTAATGCTAGAACACATCACCTGGGTTTAGAGAGGATGAAATGATTCATATGTTACTTTTTGTCTTTGCTTACAGTGTTTTCCTCACTTTACTGTGTGGAGTAAAGGAAAACAAACCTACCAAACTGACATGTCTTTATGTGATAATCATGGGATGGGACGCACCTTTAGTGTTTTAGCGTTTCATTTGTTTTAGGGACATGGGATAAAATATTTAGTGAACATACTTAAATTAACATACTCTTGACTTTAATATGATTTGAGTGGAAAATAAAACAGCACGAGGCTGATTTATTTTTAATGGAGACACATTAAATGCTAGAAAGTGTTGCCTGCTGTTGTCAACACATTTATCTTTGTACACAGTATGATGGAGGAAAGGGAACCGGACCACTGTATCACATAAAAACTTTTTTTTTTTTTTGGCCCTAAATATCCAGTATTTGTCACTCTAATTTGCATCTTTTTTTCCATGCTAGTCTAGCTAAGTAAATGTACTAGATACATGTACTTTATAGTTTTATTTCACTAGCTAGAGTTTTAAAAAGTAATGTAATACTTAATATTTTTTAAATACTATTACTATTAATCCTACAAATAATAATATTGATAATAATGAAGCTATGTCAAAAGAATAAAAGTAATTTTATTAAGCTGAGAAAGGACCAGAACATACATTTGTATGATTTATTATTTTTATTATTAACCTAGAGAACTGCTATATCAAGTTTAAGGCTCGTTCGATTGGCTACAGGGTTGAACTTCACCTCCCAGAGTGCACCGCGGTAGGGCTCCTCGTCTCCCATTGGTCTCGCTCATCGAGCAGCGGAGGCAGACATGAGGCAGTGGTGAAAGCCCGGCGGAGAGCTGCGGAGCTGAAATGAAGCGCACACACGGAGCAGCTCACACCGCGCAGCACCGTGCGGCTCGAGGAAGGTAGGCAGGCTCCGCGCCGCTAAAGCTGAAGGCTGCTCCGGCTGAATGAAGGGCTCCGTCCATGCGGAGGCTAGCGCTCTTTCTGCTTCCCTGTGCTGTCGCCGTCCTGGTGCACTTGTGGTTGGCACAACGACCCTCCTCCGCCCCGCTGGACAACAACACATACTCGGGTACTTTTTTAGCCACTACCCCGGGCTTTTACCTCCTCAGCTTCGCAACTTTTTTTCCTTTCGAGCGGCTGGTTAACTTTGCCTTTACCGCCCCGGTGTGGTAGTTTGCTAGTTAGTGTGTGTGTGTGGACAGGTAGTTAACGGCAGTGACTGTAATGAGTGTTTTCTAATGTGTGTTTTACGGAGGAAAAAGAGGTGAATGTAACATTTGAATAGTGCGGGGCGTTGCTGGGATAGTCCCTCGCCGTGTTACAGTGCAACTACTGTGCTCCGTGGCTGCTTGAAGCGGGTTATCACTCATTATCAGCCCTCACGCTGGCTGTGTGAAGCGGCTTCACCATCAGATCAGTGTAGACTAACTACCTTTTAATGCACGAGGACATTAATCTTCACGGGGTGCATCGCAGTAAGTCACCGCAAACTGAGTATGAGAGGAAAACAGGTCTGGTTAGATTTCTTTTTTTTATCCATATGTTACATCTGCCCTTACATTTTGAGTACTCTGCTGTTGTGTGAGGTCATCTTCAGTGAAATGTCTGTCTCCAATGCAGATGAGCCATTACCTTTCTATGAAGTTTTGGTGGGGGTGCTGTCAGCAAGACATCATTATGAACTGCGACAGGCGATAAGAGAGACCTGGCTGGGATACCTCAGACACCACCCCCACTTCCAGCACAGGTCAGCAGGCTGGACCTTCAACTTCACAGCTTTTCTGTTTGTTTTGATTTGTCTTGCCTTTCTTTTTCTCACCATGTCAAATTCATATAGTAGAGAGAAAGGGAGGGGGGGGTGAAGCCAGCAGCAGCTGGCAGCAAATAACTGACAGCCCCATCAAGCCTTTTATCTTTACCTGACCAGCGGCCAATATTGTTCTCTTTCATTCTTCCTCTTTGTCCATTTCCTTCTCATTGAGCGATCCGAGCACAGATAAGGTGTGATGGCCTTTAAGCAACCCCCCGGTAACCATGGCAACGCAGGGTGGATAGATGGACAAGCTTTAGAAATCTTGTAGCTGAATATTGCACAAACGGGGGGATATGTCACAGTGTTTGTGGTGTTGTTACATATTTTTTTGTTGTTTTCTCTCATCCAGAGTGGGGGTGAAGTTTATCGTGGGGGAACATGGGTGTCCTATACCAGAGGATGACCGAGAAGATCCTTACTCCTGCTCCCTCCTGAACTTCACCGAGCCAGGTAAAAGAGGGGGAAAATAGAAAAGCAAAAGAGGGGAGAGGCATCTGACTGCAGCTCTAATTCTCTCGGCAATCTGTTGCTTGCGTGCGCGGTCGTCAAAGGGGAGCGGAGGCAGGATAACAGCAGAGGAGTCGAGAGAATGAGAAGAATGGCTGTTGAGAAAAAGAGTGAAACACCTTTTTATTCATGTGTTCCCACAGCTCAAGGACAACTTTCTCTTCCTTTTGTATATCTAAGGCCAAAGCAGAAATGCTCACTGCTGCAGGGCTGAGGGAAGAGGAGGTGGGGTAACTAGAACTGCTTAACACTTAGAAAAGTAGAGCTGCACAAAGAGCAGACACTATATGAAATAATTTAACTCCCTCGCAGTCAGTTTTGAACATTGGCAGTAATTGTTAACGTCTGTCGCCTTCGCCGAGCCCGTCCACTTGAGCCGGCTTTCTCCACTTTTACTGGCGTTAAGCTGCCTTCATGGAAACATAATTACAGCTCATCAGAATGGGCTTTTCACACAGTGGCCTTTGGGGTCATGGCAATGCGTTACATATATATTTATTTCTTTCTTTTTTTGTTCCCCAGCCCTTTCTCTTGCCCTCCACTGCGTTAATGGCTGTTGGTTGTTGACGTGATTTGCTTCAGAATGGCAGGCAGGCTTTGGGTGCGCGTGATGCTCCGTGTGATTGGAAGAGAAAGAGGCAGTGGCAGCTTTTTAAGCACAGTCGGGGTACCTGACGCAGGATTCAGGTCAAAGCGCGCGTTAAGTGGACAATTAATTGTGGCACTGAAATGTGTTTGTTTGCTCTGCATTCATCACAGCGATTTTTTTTATTTTTTTTTGGACTACAATAAGGTGAATGCTAATTAGCTTCTCAGAGCAGTAATCCTGCTGCCGGCAGAAGGTGTGTGTGTGTGTGTGTGTGTGTGTGTGTGTGTGTGTGTACGCGCGCGCTTTGAATCCAGGCGAAATAGTGAGATATTTAATGATGTTTGAAGGTTTTGAGATTTCAAAGCTGATATAAACACTACAGCATGAGATGAATGGACTGATTGACATGTAATTAAAGATTTTTGTCTTTGCCTTTGAATTCTGAACTATTACAGAAAACAAGCACTTTAAAGACACTGAGTTCTTTTTTTTGTGTGTGTTATTTATTTATGTACTTATTCTTTTTTTTAGACTGAATGTTCATCCACTAGCCAGTAATAAAAATAATGGTTTGATTTATGATCTATTTAATGAGCCATGCCCAATGCAGCCTATAGTTGGTGCTTGATATTGAAGTAATTGCCCATAAACACCCTTAGCGACAGAAATGTAATGATAAAAATGTATGATAGTTTGATAATCACATTTTTGTCATGTTTCCGGGGAATAAAGCATCGATCAAAATGATTTGTCTATTGTCTCTTAGTGGTAGCACAATCCTGCGGCTCAGTCCCATTCAGCTAACGTGAGAAGCGTTTGGCGTGATAAAACCTCTGCTCCTCTTCGCCTCTAATTGTCTTTATTTTGGAAGGAGCTGTAGAAGTTGTGTAGACTGCACATAAAGTGAAAGTGGGGCGGGGGTGGGGGGGGGCTTCGCAGCTTCGCTTTAACAGCCTCGATCTTTTCATTGATCTCTCGGGTAATAAACTGCTCTTTTGTAATTAAGAGAGCACGCTCACAAGCAGGGGCTCGCTTTGAAGACAGCCGTCCTGAAGAAGCGGCTCCTCAAAGTGCTGATGGTGTAGCTTTCCCAGAGTCCGCCGCTTTTTCCGAATGCTTTCTCTCGTCTCTTCATCACTAGGAGAAAAAAAGAAAGATAGTCAGCATGTTGGGATTGTAATAAATTTCATGTGTGCTTGTGCAGTGACTCGCTGCCCTCTCTGTGTCCCAGCGGCAGGCCGGGACGGAGAGATGGAGATTGTGACGGTGTCTGATCCCTCGCTGCTCGCCCCCTCCGACGTGTCTGCCATCGCCCTGGACTTCAAGGTGCTCCACCCGGTGGTGATAACCCGGCTAGGGGTGTTTCCCAGCGGGACCCGAGCCGAGCTTCAGAGCAACGTGACGGTGAAGCTTCTCCAGCTGGACCAGGAGGTAACGTGGCTTTGGCCTGTGAGCATAATGCATCGCGTATGCTGCGTTTCTGTGGAGCTCGGTAGAAACGCAGCCCGAGGGCAGCTGGAGGACTCTGTGCTGCTGCTGTTTGTTGAACAAACTTCAGCTCATTTTAGAGTCCTGCTGTTGACAGAGCAGTGTGTGGCTGTGTTCAGTATGGAGGACGGCATCTCTGTGAATTCTTTATGGATAAAAAGTTTGAATATTTCTTTTTTTGCACTTTCTTCTTCAGGAGGCTGTGGTTACTGCTCGCTTCAGCTCCATTAGCACGGGGACCTTGGTGAACTGGATGTGGTACAAACCAGTGGAGCAGTTCATCCTGCCGAAGGTCAGTTTGTCGCTGATCCTCTGAGCTGTAGCCACGACTAAAGAAAAATGGAGTAAAAGTCCTCCAGTCGGGAATATAAGTCTTCAGAAGCTGTTTTAGTTTATTCTATTTTTTTTAAGTACTAGAAAGCTACTTTCAGCTGCTCTTATTCACAACGGGTCACTACAGCAGGTAGCTCTGCATATTTGATTTGACAGATTTGTTTTAATTTATTTTTTAACCTGGATTTTCTTGATGCAGCCACAAAGGGATTTGTGTCTCCTCCTGGAATCAAACTAGGGATCTTTGGGTTGTTTTCATTAGCTCTGCTTGGGTTGATAACTGTGGAGGAGACGAAAAGAGAAAAACACACGAGACTTATGGAAGTTCAGGAGTTTATAAATTTATTTAACAGAAGGGATTTATCATTAATGTGAATGGGTGCCACATGCAGATTTAAAGAGGTTAACCCTCCAAATCAGAGGAGGACACATGAAGGCATTCATGTGTATGAGCTCACTCACTGAGGATGATGTTAAATAGAATAAGTATCTGTTTGGAGAGCCAAATTTTGGAGAGCCTCGCTTCATTTTGTCCTCTTATATTTATATAACGGTGACCTCGCGCTGAATTTGATGTTTACCTTTGAATAAGTAAACATCCCCAACCTGAACTGATGCAGAAAAGCAACACATCAGTGCATAAAAAAGTGTTTGATGCTCACGATGTCCTGGCTTTAACACGCACCGCCAAGCGAAAGCCGTCCCCGTGTCTGCACGTACGCCTGGCGGTGATGTCAGGGGTACAAGAGTACACCGGTACATCGCTGCAGCAGAGGCTAGGTTCAGGGGATGTTAAATTAATCTTTCATTAACATTGTAGCGAAGCATAATGTAATCCACTCTAAAGTTTCCAAGTCTGCAGTGTCCTTGATGGTAGCTAATTACATCATTCAGATGAGATGGCGTTGGACAGCACACCCATAACATCTGTCTTTATTCCAGGGGTTTGAGGGGACGCTCGTCTGGGAGAGTCTCGACCCTGCCGCACTGACCACAGTCAACTCCTCCTCCGTGCAGCTCAGTGATGGAGGAGGCGTCCTAAAGATCTCTTCTGTATGTGTTCGCACACAGTATCTAGAAGGAGATATATGAATAACGCATTCTCATTCCTCTTTCAAGTTTCCAATAACTTAAAACTTTTTTTTTTTGCTCTTTTTCTTGGAGTTGCAGATTGTAGAGGGGATATTGCCTCATAGAAGTGCTCTTGGATTTCCTGGTTTGGCTGGAGGCTTCACATTTACTATCTATGGTTAGTCCTGCAGCAGAATAAACTTTGCACTTTTTTTATATGATAATTGTGTGATCAAAGCCACATTTTTAAAAACAGACCAGATGTAAGAGCTCGAAAAACACCGCTCACCGTGCTGCAGGCTTTTTGTATATGTTCCAAATAGAAAATAGCATTTTCATAGCCTCAACACCCGGCTGTTCCAGTATTGATTTTACCTACACGTGTTTGCATTTTGAATCTTAAGAGCAGATTTGGTGTAAATCTGTGCAAAACAAAATTAAATCCATCATTCAGCATCTCTGAAGAACCGAACTAATGGTCCATTGTGCCAAACGTTATCATTTTTTCATATTGTTTTACTCGATGGTAATTAAAGTTATTATACCTCAAGCGCCTTAGGTTATTAAAAAATTTGGGCTGAATAAATATAATATTTGCACAAAAACTATTACAACTTTTTCTCTGATTACCCCGAATGTTTTCCTCACTCTGCGTCAGATGGAGACGGTCTGTCAGAGCTCCTGCGGGGCCGCCCAGCCAGGATGGAGCGTCATGCCTCCAGGCTGAGGGAGGAGGATGCCACTTTGCAGGAGGAAAGCCTCAGGCATGGCGACATGGTGTTCGTAGATGTGGTAGACACCTACAGGAACGTGCCTTCCAAACTGCTTCAGTTCTATAAATGGTATGCCAAGTGCTAATGACTCGATTCTCTGTCTCCAAATTGCCTGGGCCCTCTGAGGAAATCAGCAACCTGAAATGAAAGTGTGCCGACGCCTCAAAATGTCTCACTGTTAAAATCACGACTGCAGTCGCTCAGTCAAGAAGTAGAGTTCTGAGTCATCAGATAAAGCAAAATACACAGAGTGGTCTTAAGCTGTGATGTGATAAGTGTTATACTTATTTGCAGACCTCCTGCCCTTCATGCTCGCTGGTATTTGAAAGTAAATCCACTCTGGGATATTGTATAAAATCAGAGGGTGGGCTTTAATTAAGGCTGCATATTCCCTCTCCGGCAGGTCTGTGGGAAACGCTGACTTTAATCTACTGCTGAAGACGGATGATGATTGTTACATCGACGTGGACTCTGTATTAATGAAGATTGACCACAAGGGTCTCAAACGCAGCAATTTCTGGTGGGGGAAGTAAGTACAGTTCGGCGTCCGGTACTGTTGACAGCGTATACTTTGTGTCCACTTGTGCTTACAGTTTAACTTCAGTGCGCTGTCAGCTGAGTTTTGGAGCGAAGAAACGGGAACGCTGTGCACGGTTAAAAAGCTGATAGGTCACCTGAAATGGAGACTGTATTTGATGATGATGTCTCTGCCATCCTGACCCAGTTTCAGGCAGAGCTGGGCAGTGGATCGCATTGGGAAGTGGCAGGAGCTGGAGTACGCGAGTCCAGCCTACCCGGCGTTTGCCTGCGGCTCTGGCTATGTGGTCTCTCGTGACCTGGTCCAGTGGCTTGCCAACAATGCAGAGAAACTGAGGGCCTACCAGGTAGAGTACGAATGCTAAATAAGAGCGTCCGACGTTCATGATCATAACGTGAGCAGCCCATCCTGGATGTCTCGTTGCAGGGAGAGGATGTGAGCATGGGGATATGGATGGCAGCTGTTGGGCCTCAGAAATATCAGGTGAGAAGCTGAATGGTATGAACTGCCAGCTTTAGTAAAACATAAATGATTTGTTTTGCTTTATTATCAGTCTAACACTGGCATAAAATACAACTTAGCCCAGTGCTTTCACTTTCCCTTATCAACGTCAGACTGATAAAGGTCAGCGTCTGGCATTAAGAAATGTTAGAAAGGTACAGATATGAATGTGTTTAATGTGTACATTTTTCTTAGAATATAAATGGCAGCTGAATTCAAGCTGTAAATATAAATGGTACTTAAATTTACAGCAATATTGATAAGATACTGTGTATTAACACATTGTTTTGTTTTTTTATATGACTTAGAGCTGTTAAACAATGTCAGACAAAGAGAAAAACAAATAATAATAATGGATTGGATTTATATAGCGCTTTTCAAGGCACCCAAAGCGCTTTACAATGCCACTATTCATTCACTCTCACATTCACACACTGGTGGAGGCAAGCTACATACTGCGTAACAAAAAGAAAACTGCACTCTTGGTCCTCTGAGCTTCATTAGCCAAACTTTAGCATCTCACTAATAGGCTCTGCAAGCAAAAGACACAACGTGAAATAAAAATGTGAACTGAAATGATAAAACCCCCTCTCACCCTTGAGTTTTTTAGTCTGCTAAGCACGTACAATTTGATTTCTGTGGAGAAAAAAAGTGCAGCAAACAGGCATGAACATTTATGATTGTTTTTCTCTTACCAGTAATTCAATATGCGGTTTGCTTTACAGCTTAACATTTTTATTACGAGCATGCGGCAAAAAAGCTTTGCTAGTGGAGTCGCAGTTTAAAGGCGTAATTGTGTTAACTGGTTTAATGTTTGTAACCTGAAGCATATCAAAATAAAATACTGCCAATTTAACCCGAGAGAAATGTGACCCAGCGTCCGCCTCATAATTAAATAAATTTTATTCCCCTTCCTGTTGCCAGGATCCCGGCTGGCTGTGCGAGAAGGAGTGCTACCTGGACATGCTGTCGTCCCCCCAGCACACGGCCAAGGAGCTGCATGTTCTGTGGGATAGGAAAAGAGCCTGTGGAGACCCCTGTGGATGCCCCTGGGACCACTGAATGTGGTTCACACTACACTCACTACGTGACACTGTGGGTAAAATGCACTCGACACTAGCTGTCAGGTCATTTTCTGTAATATTTTTTTCTTAAAACACTAAACTGCGCCATTGTCAGTTACTAGAATTATGATTATTATATTATAAAAAAAAAACACTTAGATTTGGAAATGTGGGACACTCTGTAGGGAAAATAATGTCAAACTTTGCAGGTTCGTAATATTAACAACATAAACCATTTGCAGCTTAAAGAAAAAAAGACCTCACCTTTAGCTGTAGCATCCTGCCGGTATTTGTATCATGAAGTCGGTTATTAAATTTGAAAATGTCAAAATGTGGGAAGACTGCAGATGAAAAGATGCTTTATTAATGTAACTGTCAGGGATGGTACAAGAACCATGTGCAATACCAGCGTGTGAAGGTCATCATGTTCAGGGTGATTGCTGTGAGACTGAGTACTTTATTCTAATTGTTGGTACTCTGGAGACAGAGCTGAACCTTTTTTTGGTTTAATGCAGATATTTGATGGCGTTTTAACGATGATTCCTCTGCATTGCTATGTTTTGTAAATTTATTGTCTGAAGCTTTTCATCTTCTTTACTGTTTGTAGGTTTATGATGGGCTTTCTCACAGACGCACACACAGTTTGTACTGTAATTGTTATTGTGCAGATAGTGATGTGGCCTTACTGTATTTGTTAGGCGTCATACTGTACCTATGTTAACACTTGTGATATTAACAGATTTTTTTGGGGAACTTGACAAAGCAGTTGGAGCGACTGTGGAATAGACTCACTCGTTTAACACGGTTTTATGAAAGCCTCCTCAAAGGTAATAAAGAACATTTAAGAGAGATTAATGGCTCACTTGTTGTTTATTTTGGGAACGATGAACGCAGTAAACTTGGGGGCGCTGCTGATGCTGCTGTGCTCAGTCCACACTGGATACGGACCACACAGGTCCTTTTTTTCCCCACTTAAAAAGGAACAGGAATCCTATTCTTCTCCTAAGAGAGTAACAGCGCTGGAGTTTTGAAGCAGAGGATGTGTTGGCACCAAACTGATCAGTGTTTTCATGTAATCGATAAGACCAAGGCTTCTTTGGACACATGCTTCTTTTAGGGGGATCTGTTTGTTTAGCCATGTGATTGATGCTGAGTCCCCACAATTAGATTTCCTCCCTGTATATTTTCTTTTTTTTTTAAATTAATTTATTTTTTGGGGTAAATAATGAAAGATGATGCTGAATGTTTTATTAATGGAGGACAGTTTGAGTCGTTTGTTTTATTTAGGCCCGTCCCACCTGCCAAGAAATCTGTTCCTGCACTTAACTTGACATTCGAGCAGGCATTCCTCTTCTTCTCCTAACCACCCTCCTCCTCCTCCCTCCCATCGTATCCTTTCGCCTCCTCTCTTTCACTGAGCAGCATGATAACAAAGTCATATCCGCATCTGTTCCACTCTCCAGCATAGATAAGCGCGGCGTTTTCCGCCCCATCAGCCTTTCTCGCTGATTCACATCGAAGCCCTTCATTGTGAACTGGGAGAAGCGTGGAAATGACACACTGACGGGAGGGGAAAAAAAGGTCACTTCTGCTTTCCGTGCCGATGATTCTTTAGGGGAAGAAGTTATTAAATTTGTCTAAACTTTGATGAGCGCTGGAGGGATACTCATGCAAAATGTTTAAATTATTAGCTCTAGAGATATTCTTCATCTCCTCTGAATCCTTTTATTCGAGTCCTGTCCTCACCAGAATCTGTCATCGTGTGAAACAAATTGTTCCGTGTTTACTGTCAGATTGCAGTTATGTATTACACTTTAAATCTCCTCAGGCTTTTCTATTATTATAATAATTTAACAGCTCGGCCGTATTTCCTGAGTGTTTTCTTCCGTTACGTTTGCCACTGTTAGTTTTCAGAATAACGTGTAATTATGAACTTCCTCATATTTGGAGGGAAGATGAGCTCCTGTTTGGGCTTAAGCAAGAGATAGAAGGTACAAAGTGATGTCGTCTAGGGGGAACACTACTTAAGAATTCCTTGTTTTTCCGAGCGATCAATACTTGTGAACATATACGCTCTCAAGGCTGGACGCTTAAAGGCTAAAGAAGCCAAAGTGTAAAAGTGCCACAGCAGTAAAACGAGCGGAACGAAAAGATCTCAGCTCATCTAACTGACCCAGAATCTGTGATTCATTCATACGTTTGATATTAATAGACCCCACACGTTCTGAATTGTTCTATGCCCTCAAGCGTGTATGTAATCTTTTCTAAGTGACGACAAGAGTACAATTCCCTGAACTACTGACTTCTTTCACTCTATTAATATTTTGCCATGAAAGTGCAATCATCCGTTTAGACTGTGACAAGCGCTGCTCAGAGAAAATAGAAGGAAGTTGGGCGCTGGAGTTAATTGTATTTATAAAATCCTTTTCATCGTTAGTCTCACCTCTTCCAAAAACTCATCTTCTCGTGGTGCAGAGTGAATACGAGAATGTGTTGACATTACAAATCTGAGTCTCATTTTCGGGATGGGTTTGGCAGACACTTAATTTTTGCTTGAGCAATTTAAAGATTTCTTTTTTTCCCCTCTGAGGAAACCCACACAGGCCAGTCTGAGTTTATACCTACAATTTCACACAGTTACAGAATTGTTACAATATTTTTCCTTGCAGCTGAAGTTTTTATGTTGCTTTGGGTATATTTGGACTCTTGATACTGATGCTTCAGCAGGTCAGAATTTTAATGTTGGTTCATTATTTTTGGCTATTTCAACTCTTGACCTGCTACTTTCAGTCATTTCATTGATTACTTTTATCCAAACTAACTGCTGATTATTTTCCTTTTAATGTATCTGCCTATTTTAATTTATTTCAGCTATACATGTTTCTATTATCTACAGTCTCCATGTACATCATTGGAGCTTTACGAGTACAAAGCTGCACCCTGCTTTCAGAATTGCTTTAATTCTTCATGGCAGATCCAGCTAGGTTCTGGAAACATTCTAATAAATGTTGGTCCATATCGACTTTATAACATCACCCATTTGCTGCATATTTGACAGCTTCACCTGTCCTGTTCCACCACATCCCAGAGGTGCTCTATTGGATTGAGATCTTATTACTCTGGAGGCCATCTGAAACCAGTCTGAGAATATTTGTGACATGGAGTGATCCATGATGAAAGCAGCCATCAGAAGATGGGTGCACTGTGCTCATAAAGGGTTGGGCATGGTCAGCAACAGCAGTAGTTTGTGGAGTATCACCTGCAAAAGCAGAAATATTGAGGTGTAACATTAGCATTTAAATGCTACATTTGGTGACACCATGAGTGCAGTGGGTATCTGGGTTGATCTCATCATCAGCAAATGTGTTTTAATTTGAAAAAGATTTTACTCCAAACTGTGAGGCCATGAACAAAAGGCAAAAATAAAAGATGTTGATATGGAATTTGAAATGGTAAGTAATTACAATTCATTCCAACATTAATCCCCGGTGACAGTAATAACCAGTGCCTTTTGTTTTTCACACCTTGGCTCGTGTGATTACTCACATCACATGATCAGTGGGTCTGTGGGTTCAATATTCATGACCCTTCAACATTTGCTATTGGAGTTAAAGGAGCCCGTTGGATAAAACAAACTTCAAGAAGTCCAGTTGTCTCTTTTTTTTTTTTTTTTTTTTTTTAAAAGCTCTTTAGACCACCTTGACCTGGATGACTGAGAACCTGCAAGTACAGCTAATTACACTTTGTCACATCCAAAATAACAAAATGACCCTTTAAGCAGACAGATTTGGAATCATGTAGCAGTGTATCTGATTTTACCTACATTAGAGACTATATTAAAACCTACCTGTTTTAAACTGAACTCGCCTGGATTCAGATGAGGCACAGCTGTCTCAGATCTCAGGAGCTTACACTGTGCTGAGAGCCATGCATCTGCATACTTATTTACACATTTCTGTCAATCAGCCTCCTCTTCTCTTCCCCCTCCTCCTCTTCCTCCTCTCTGTGCACTAAAACGAGGGGGAAATCATTTATTCATGACACCCGGCATTCCAAAACCAGCATTTCTGCCCGACTCTGATTCGCAGGAATGAGGAGATATTATTAGCTGCACAACTATGTCCTAATGGGGCAACGGTTTCATTCCCAATTTGAAACCGCGCTCACGTCTCTCTCTGATTTCCATGGCTTCTACAGCGTCTCAGCCTGGCGAGGTTATGACTGCCCCCCCACCTTTTTTTTTTCTCTTCTTTTTCCAAACATTTGCAGAGCGCAGCTGTGAGACGTGTGTGACACATCGGGTGGAGGGCGTCGTCCAGCTAATCCATTACATTGATAAAGCCGTGGAAATGCCGAGTGAATTGCGAGTTTCGTAAGCCCACTTGACCCCTGCTGCAGTAACGCGGCAGATTTACCGTGATAGTGTTTGTGAGAGATAATTAGTAGAGCCATTACTGAACCATTACTGACAGTCATTCTGTCTTAAGAGGATCGTGAATTAGCTCATTGGTCTGATGATGATGAGATTCTTGGAAACCACTCAGTCATTTAATGTAACCTGATGTGACGCCATGTGTGCAAGAAATGCCACGATGTCAGCTCAGTGAATAGTTTCTCCCCCTCAGTTCAGCATTAAATGGGCTCTCCTTCTGTTTAGGATTGCACTTGATGGATTTCTAAAAGGAACTCTGCGCTTTAGAGGATGACTTTTGCTCCCTGCGAGTCATGTAATGTAGCTCAAAAGCATGTTTGTAGACTTCACCTACCTGATGAACGCTACATTTATTTTTAAACCCCACCTCTTGCCCCAGTTTGTAAGACTGGATATCTGTCGTTATATGTAATCTTCAAATCAAAGCAGAAATGACCCCGGTGTCTCTGTTCCCTTCAGACAGCGCCGTATCTGCACATGGCCATGTCGAGCTCAGGAGACAGATTTATATAAGCTACAGTGATTGCATGCGGAAACAAGTGAGCACTTTGTTGCTCCTCTTTATCCCCGATAAGACATCAAGACGCAGTGAGGGTTGTTTTTTTGGGGGGGTTTTTTGCAAGCGACTGAGTGCTGGCAGAATTATGCATGAGAACATGTTGTTCTGGGATCGGTGACATGAATATTATAAAATGAAGGAAGCTTTTTATGAAATCCATGAATCAAGTGGTTTTAAAAACATCTACAAAGAAAGCCCAACTTTACATCCACATCAAATTGACCCTGCTAACAGGAAGTGTCTGTAAAACTAAAACCAAGTGTGGGTTATTCTTCCACTGTTGTCCAAAGGTTATTGCCAAAATATCAGCGTGCCACCAGAGTGACATGTTTTCTTTTCATTACTATGAAGTCTGAGACTGTGGTTTCTTTTGTGTCAGCCCAGCCTGGAGCTATTGACTGCACACCAAATCTGCAGTCGATGGTGGTCCCCAACAATTGGCCAGGAGTTTTAATAGTTTTTCAGGCTTTTCAGAGAATGAAAGACCAGTTTTTCAAAGTGTCAACGGACAACTTTTCCCTCCCTCTGCTCGCTTTGCAAAGATTGGATCATTTTCTCTTGGGCAAACCTGCTTACTGTTAAGTAAGCAGGTTTGCCCACTTACTGATTAAACCGAATATCTCATTTGGATCCTCCCAAGTCTCAGCTCTCTACAATCATATGAACGCTTGTCTGAGGTTAACTGCTGTTTAATGTTTGGTTTCTTTTCCATGTTTTTAACTTCCTCTGTCAGGATGGCTCTCGTCTTCTTTTGTTTTTTTTATTCCATCACAGAGCTTCTAGTAACCACTAGTTCAGGCACCTGAGGAAAGCTACTTGTAGTTGCAGAATCAAGGCTTCATTTTTCTGGGAAGTTTTCT